GGGGGGGCGGCGTTATTACTGAGTCATGACATTATCTGCATGCCACTTGTATGGCATCTGGAAAGCTTTGAACTTGTTTCAATAAATCGACGTATTTATCGCGGCGTGTAGGAGATTTAGGCTTTGACGGAGCCCTCTTTGTATAGTTATCGAAGACTAACAATATCCGGGTGCCAAATAACCGGTTCATAACTTCATGCTGGCATCCTGGAACACGGTCCCTGAACGCACCTAGCCTTGGTCTGGAATGTGATGCAATACCAACACCGCATGGCGTGGTGTCACCCTGTCCACATATTTCCGGGGGGTTGGTACCTATGTATCTACCGTCTTGACGGCTGGGCCTGGTGCAAATCCGTGTCCGAGGTTGGCGTGCCTATCAACAAATTCCAGACTACCTTGCAGGTGGTTCGAAGGCTCAAAAAAGCCGGATATTGATCGCGACATTCCAGCAAGTGCACGCACTCATGGCACTCGACTCCACGCAGGAGTCACGCAGACTTGATACTGCCCTATCGGCCCACCACTCTTTCTACAAGCTGATGAAGATCCTGTTCAAGTCTATCACGCTCACACGTTGGGGCTATCGGCTCAGAACTGTCTTCGATGCACTCCCACGAGCGATGGCCGTAAATTCCATTAAACATCAGCACTTAATGCTCACTGACGAAGAAGTGCGGCCAGGGCATCATCCCTCTGCGCAGGGACGTGGAGTAACGCAACGTAGGGGGTCACCGTTGGCCACTTTGGCAGCTCTTTGTATTCTTCTGCTGTCGTCCACCGGCGGGATCGCGCTGTCAGTGGCACTTATACTGGAAACTGTTGAGTTACGAGGCGCATGTCTGTCTCGGGACCTTATTCTTTGTGCGGCACTGATGTCTCTGCTCTATGCTGGGCTACATGTCAGGGGCGCCTTGAAGAACTACACACGATCAGAATCAGGCTCACCTCATATTTATGGCAACTATCTCCATGCGAGCGCCTTGCTTGTTGCGAGGCTGTCCATCGCCGCCTGGGTCGCTGCCCTTGTTGCAACGGCGGTGCTGGTAGCCACTGAAGCCGTTCCTACCGATGGCTTGGACGGAAAGATCCCCATTTTGAACATGCTCGTCTGCATTGGTGCACTGTATGGCGCCCTAGCACAACTGCAGGACGTGCCCATCAACCGCTGACATACGTGTAGGCCCTCGCTCGTGGTCATATCCTGCACCATTGAGAGTCACCCAAGGCCATTTGTGACGACAGGGTTCTCGAGTCCTTCATTCTTGACATGTCGCATTAGCGCTTTTGCGAGTGACATGGCTGCTACCGAAAGTGGACTCGGCAGTGCGCCGATGCGTCAACATGGTGAAGAGATAAGCTCAGCGTCGTCAATGGCTAGCGCTGATGATATTCGGCCCCTGGGGACTTTTAGGGGTCCTGCTCCATGTCAGAAGATATCATGTGATAACATCTCGAATACATTGGGGATCAAACTCGCGGCAGTATCGCCATCCAAGAGAACAAGCGCCTCCTGCTCGCCTCCCTGCCCAACCGAACGCACACCTGGACTATCCGAAAGCCCTCTACAGCTGGTGTATTGTCCTGGAGGCTGGCGCAACGAATGGAACGCCGTGGTCGAGCAAGTGGATGTGTCGATATCCACACAATCTTCTGATGGATGTTCGGCAGCAGAAGCACCGACGGTATCATCCAAGTAATTCGAGAAGCCCAGTACCTATGCCCAAGGGTTTTGGATATCTGAAGGTGCCGTGAAAGGCAGGGGACCGGAACTGCATGCTCGGCACATCGACCGAATCACGCAACTGGACGTTACAGTACGAGGCCAAGTCGCTTGAGCCGACCATTTACAAAGGCACTGGCAGCGAGGAAGAAAACGCTCAGTTACCCGCCGTTGTTTTATTATATGGTATAGAAGGGCCTATCAGGGGCTCGTCGAAGCTCTCGAAAGCTCCGGCCAAACCTTTGCAGGAAGCCCAATAGGCTCAGCGAAGGATGGGCCATTAAATAGTCTTGCATGTGTACCCTGGATAGGTGTCCCTTTATTAACAGTGCCGGGGATATGTAATCATAATCACCATGTTTCTAGTGCAAAGCCGATTAGTATCCTATCTGGTATCTTCCTACACACCAAAATTATCGCGTTCGCATCATGTTGTGGCGTTAATGCCGGGGTCGGGCCCAATGAACGCAACGACACAGTAACGTAAACAGAGTGTCCTTGCGTATCTCTGGAGTTGCTATAATTCCAAATCCGTCCTCATATTCAAAAAAAATATAGAACGCGGCCTGGGCAAGCGACATGACCGGCCTCCCTTCCTGCCTTGCATGTGATGCCCTTTGGCAGACAGCCGCCGCCTGAAACAGCAACGATTCCCGTGCCTGTGGAATGACTGAAGGCCCCCCCCCCCCCCAAACATTGAGGGAGACGAGTATTGAATTAAGACCAGACCGCACTTTTCTTCCAGCCTTTTCCTTCTGCTTCACACGTTGGTAGTAGTGGACGGGCAGGGAAAACAGAATAGGACTGGTGCAAGACACCCACAACTGCACCTGCGTTATTTATCCGTGAGGAGGAGACCTCGTCATTGAGCACCAAGGCGCAGATCTCAGGCAATAAATTAAAGTCATCTTGCCTGGCATATTTATCGCCGTGGCTAGTTGGGTATGGGTGCAGGGTGTTGCCCTGACGTAGCCCGCCTATGCCTATTGCGAGTATAGTTGGACGCTGTGCTTCGAACTTTGAACACAAGCCTAGAATGACAGACATACCAGACGACGAGGTCCAAGATGCCGCCGGTGCCTACTAACAGACTCGCCAGGGCTATTATGTGCCTATGTTAGTAAGTGGCTGCACTAAACTGGGGAGACAGGTTGCTACTCCAGTCTGTCTGGCCATCTGAGACAACCACAAACCAACCGAGGCCGGGGAACTCTTGCACCTGTGTGCACACCTCCGCCGTGTCTCTTTGTAATCTACCGACTCCCTATCAGGGCCCAACCCATGCACATCTGCGGATAGCTACTTCTGTGGCGAGCAGCCGAGAATACTACGGCATCGTAACATAGGAACTTCTCTCCCGCCCCTTCACTCACTTTTCATCGTTGAGGCAATCTGGGCTCCACTTTAAATTTTTATATTTTTATGGATGAACACCAGCCACTTGCGAATCCATTCCTCAAGAGCCCAATGGAGGTGCTACGGACGGGAGAACAGCTATTGGACACGGAGCTTCCTAGTTGACCTGCTCTTTAATAGCTTCCAGGTCCTATAGAGAAACCCACAAAATAACGTTTGGTCCAAGCCAGATCTCCAGCGCCGCTCGTCAACCAATGGTGCTCTACTCGGCGCGATCCATCACGTGGCTCAGATGAGGGGAAAGAGGTTCACTTAAGCCTTCTTTCGGCATCCCGGCCCCAGCCAAGTCTGGCAGGGGATGCTCGCGTCTCGGCATGCTTCGGGGAAATCCCCCGAGCTCGAGGTCTAAAGTCGGTGTTATTCTCTGTCGCTCTTGATCCGCAGGGTTGACTTACCCACGCGGCTGGCCGGCCTGCTTGGTGATAGGCAAACTTGCAAGCTTGCAAGGTTGCGCGTGGGGTTCGAGATGGAGTTCTGACTCCGGGCACCAATTGTCTTCGTTTCCTTTTTCCTCAGTCCCGCTTTATTCCCCGACTTGTGGCTCCATTACTCGCAAGCCCTCCGACAACGCGGAAACTCATTTCCCATATCCCTGACTCTGCGGTGCAGTTGTTTCTCCCAGGCTGCATAAGGTCGCCCACGCCGTCATCTTTCGACAGTGACTCTGCCACTTCCCCTTATAATTACTTGTGCTCCGCCAAGACTGTACACTCAAGAAAACCATGGCAGGAGATACGCAGGTGTCAGGTTATCCGGTGACGGACGATGTCGAGTACGGAGAGCCCAAGCAGGTAAGCCAGTCTTCATGGGTCCAAGCCTATGCAGGCATGAGAAGATACATCAGACCTTGGTTTTGACATGCGTCAGGTCTCGCCGGTGCAGTCGCCCACGGTGGCCTATGGCCAAAGCAGCGAGGACGAGAAGTCTCTTCGGTGGCGCCAGGACAAACGCATCATCCCACTCTCTGCTGGCATCTATTTTCTTTGCTACCTCGACAGATCGAATATAGGTAAGCCGTCCCCGGCCCCCTCCGCTGTGCGCGAGAGGGGGCGTTTGTCTTCCCGTGGATTGAATGTCCCGGGACGCACCATACACGCGGCTGAAGATAACCAACAACCCGTGCAGGAAATGCCAAGATCATGAACTCAACAACTCACAACGATCTCTTAACCGAGACTGGTATGACAAACTATCAATACACCATTGCATTGAGGATATTCCTGGTGGCGTATGGTCTTTTCGAGTAAGTCGACGAGAGAGTTTGTGATCCATCACCGCCACGACGAACGGGCGAGACTCAAGTAGCATTCCTTACGGCTGCTCAGAAGCACTAACGAGAACCAGGGTACGTGCAACATGCTCTTCATTGGTAGTTTCGCTTGTTTTGCGGAAGTGATTTTTGGGAAGAGCTTGATATTAAAATTACACCAGGTACCCTCTAACATCCTCCTCAAAAGGCTGAGACCCTCTCGTTGGATTGCTTTCCTGGTGAGTTGCTATGCGTTTTAATCTCAAGTCAGGTCGCCCCGTTGGTATGGGTCGGTTCCACCTAGTGTAACCCGATACTATGCTTCAAACGCAATCAGGGACTCAACTGACACTGTCTCCTAATTCTAGATGCTGTCGTGGGGCGCTTTAACAATGGGTCTTGGAGGCGTAACTAGTTACGCCTCGGTCACGGTGGTGCGTTTTCTGCTCGGCGTCTTTGAAGCTGGGCTCTTTCCAGGGCTGGTTTACTATCTTACCTTCTGGTATACGTCCTCTGAGAGAAGTATCCGGGTGGCCTTCATTCTTGCGTCAGCCACGCTCGCGGGTGCGTTTGGGGGTGCAATAGCTTATGGCATAGGCCACATGAACCAGGCCGCGGGACTGTCCGCCTGGCGGTGGCTCTTCATCATCGAGGGTGCTCCATCGTGCGTCTCGGCGTTCGCTGTGTGGTTCTTCTTGCCGGACTATCCAGAGAGTGTGACCTGGCTTACGGACAACGAGAAGGCAATCGCGGCACGCCGGCTGGAGATCGAGGGCAGCAAAGGCCACGATAAAGGTATGACCTGGGCGGACGCCAGGGCAACATTGCTCGATGGTAGACTCTGGGTACACTATATCATTTACTTCGGTATCTCTGTGCCTTTTAGTTCCCTGAGTCTTTTTACCCCTTCAATTACAGCGGGTCTAGGTACGCATAGTCACCCAACTCACCGGCCTTTTGATGCGAAATAAATGTACTAATGCGATACCAATATAGGCTACAAAGACCTCGAGGCACAGCTCATGACTGTCCCCCCGTACGCAGTGGCATATGGTGAGACCTCCCCGGCAGAAGACGTCTGTAGGCCTGACAATTAATGGTGATAGTGGTCCAAATCTTTACTGCATGGCTAGCTGACAAGTTCAATGCCCGGGGATTGGCCTCCGCTCTTTTAGCTACCGTTGGAGCTGTAAGAACTGGATCATGTATCTGTCCAACCCTGTCTGGCTGACGTGACTTTACAGGCCGGATTTATTGGTTCTGCTGCATTGCCAGCCACGGCATACCTTCCACGATATGGCTGTCTTATCGTTGCATCATCTGGTGCATTTGCCTGCATACCCCCTCTACTTGGCTGGCTATCTTCCAATATCTTTAGCACGGCTTCCGTCGGTCTAGCCATAGCACTCAACATAGGCCTTGGCGGTGCGCCAGGCCAGATCGTTGGGGTCTGGATCTATAAGGCAAACGAGGCGGCCTCTGGATACCCAACTGGTCACTGGACAAACGCTGCCCTCTTGCTCATGGTTGCAGTCGGATGCGTGACGCTCAGGGTATACTACGGTTGGAGGAATCGCAAGCTCTTACGGGCCGGTACAGTCAACGAACCGAGACTGTTCAGGTACTAGTGGGACCTGGCTTGTCATGTCTAAGTGTCTCGACAAGGGTAGTCGGTGGTGCCTCTGTGCATGAGGTGCCAGTTCATGATTATCGAAGCCTTCCTACTTGTAGAGCCATGCACTGCTTTATGATTAGAGTCGCGATGAATTACTACAGAACCGGCCAACTACTTCCCAGAAGCTTTATTGTGGCGCTGTACTAAACCTTGTGACCTCTGTATCTAGAGGTCAAGGGTAAACTATGTGATGCGAACTGCTACGGTGTAAGTGAGTACTACTGTATACGAAAGTTGGAGCCAGTTACTCTCCATTCTGCTCTACGGGATGCATTTACCACGGTGTCCTCCTGGACTCCTTCCCGATCTATCAGCTGGCGATGAATTACTCGCGTATGACGTATTATCAGGTATCACTCCCTATCGCAGGGAGGAAGGCAGCCGGCAGCTGGGAAGCGATCATCTTTGCACCTGAGGAATCTGTAGTTGTTGCCAAAGTGTCAGCGAAGAACAGTTGAGAGGTGTTTAAAACTGGGCGTTGGATCGACTCAGAAAGAAATCCCTCACTAGGACCAATGGGGCTTCCGGGCAACGAGAGGGTAACTGGTCCAAACAAAGGCTCTGGGAGGTGAATTGGGGTGCTGCAGCAGGGAACCGTTCATGCCATGACTCCCAGTCGAGTCGGCTTTTGCTGGCAGGCCCGTTCTCCGCCCATGTCTCGCGAGTTATTCTTGTGGCATATACGTCCAACAATTCGCAATAATTTGCAGGACAAAGATATTACACATTTGAAGGAAAGTTGGGTCGGCAAGCTAATTTTGGAGAGCCTGTAATGTTTGTGGCTCGGGTGGTTGACTCGAGTTTTCACCGACTGAGCGGTATCACACCAGCGGCGCACTTAAAGTAGAAGACCTGAGACCTGGGACGTATCTGGTGTTCGAAGACCCCTTGTTCAGCAAGTAGTGACATTTTCCAGTCTCAGGCATCACCAAGAAGACTTTGGGTACATAGGAAATCCACATGGTCACAGCAACGCAGTGGAATGAATATAACAACTCCGAAATTCCACTGCGTTGCTGTGACCATGTGGATTTCCTATGTACCCAAAGTCAAACCGTACCATCTCACCCATGGGGCCCACTGGCTACCCCAAACTACTGTCTGCTGCACCTGAAAGACTGGACTTTGCCGACGTTGGGAAATGTGCCTGTCTGATAGTTATGTCCACTGCCACTGCAATCCGCGTCCCTAAAGAATTTGTCTGTTAGTCGAAGTAAATATAGAGAATGATGAAATTTCATCTCGTTTCGTTTTGGGGCTTGGGGCGTCCTTACGTGTAAGCGGTGCACTTGACCTGATCGTACACCTTCATGGAAGCGATTCCGTCGTAGAAGCCAATAGGGACGGCATTCGCTGTACGTGGAAAATTAGCTCTCTCTCTTAATAAACACGACGTTCCCACAAGGGAGGGAGGGACATGCTGCAAAAGCCCAAGTTATTGTCTGCGTCCAAGCCACATTTGCCCTTGAGGCCGGTCGAATCACAGTACTTGACCATCCATGAGTCACGGGTGTTGCTAAGTGCAGCAATAGGGCATGCCTCGGCCAAGAACACGGCAAGGCCAACGAGTAGGGCAGCTACTAAGAAGATCTTCATGGTGTCCGACTTGTTGATGGTGAGAATGTAGTTGTGTAACAATTTGCGATGGCGACGTTTGTTTGCTTATCCGTGGTAGGATGCAAGCTTATGTTCGCGAGGAAAACCATGTCTTATGTAGTAAAATACCATCTTCTATTCACCTTTTGCTGTATTAATGGGGAATATCGTATGGTCCTTAATGTGCTAGGCGCTAGTACCCGGGTGACTACTTACATTCACATTGTCACAGGCCTCACGGCACATTGTCACGGCACCATAAGTGGGATCGATGTCACGGAACCATAGGGAGGATCGAGGCTGTGTTGCAAATCCTGTAGTATTACAAAAATTTAAAGCTGGGGAGGAAAGGAAAGAAGAGCTCTCTTTACAACTGTGGCGTTTGTTATTTATAAATAGGGTGGATCACCCTTCGTCCTTAATTATAATTACCATTTATATTAACTAACTTATAATAATCGAGGTTATATTATAAATTTTATAATATTATAAAAAAATTTAAAAGTAAAAAAAAAAAAAAAAAAAAAAAAAAAAAAAAAAAAAAACTTTATT